TATCACAGCTTCCTCATCAGCTTCGGCCCTTTCTAGCACCGCGGGACTCGTTCACGTGCGAACAGGCTCAGCTTCGGGTGCTCATGGAGTACATTCCAGGGCCAATTCCCACAACGGCGGAGATGCGGCCGTCGGCCAATCCCGTCTCCGTGGCGTGGCGCAACGGGTCGCCAATGGCTTCTCGGCATCACAGCAACCTGCTCCTGTGGCGCGAGTAGCCGCTATGGATGTCGACCGTACAGCGCCGTCGTCCTCTGCACCCGTTGGCGCCTCGGCTAGGATGGCTGAGATCGAAGACGAAGAGATGAGCGACGACATCGACAGCGATTACCACAGCAGCGGAGAAGGATCGAGCAACGAGCAAAGCTCGAAGACGGACCACGAGATGGACTCGGACGACTCTGAAGGAGCGGAGCTGGATGCCGATGAGAAAGAAGTCGACGGTGAGACGCTGCTGGACGATGCAGCTAGCATGGCAGACTCCGACCTCGCCTCGCCACACGCGCTCGACCCTGATTGCTTGGTCACATTGCCACCACATCTCGAATTGGATGCGCAAGAGAAGAGGCGCGCAATCATCGAACGATACGAGCAGAGCGTCATCGTGCCCAACGCGCAGAAAGCTGCTGATGAACGCAACCTCATGGTTCAGCAAGGCGAGCTGAGTGCCGACCTCGCTGCTCACGACGACGAGCTTGCATTGATGGGCCTCGATCCGGAGGAGGTGCGAGACACCAGCATGGTCGCCGAATACTCTCGAGAGATCTTCGCGTACATGTCTCGCTGCGAGCGCGAGACGATGGCCAACCCCAACTACATGGCATTCCAAGGAGAAATCGAGTGGCATATGCGCGCCACCCTGGTCGACTGGCTTCTGCAGGTACACATGCGATATCACATGCTGCCGGAGACGCTCTGGATCGCTATCAACGTGGTGGACCGCTTCCTCTCCGTTAGGGTTGTTTCACTCGCCAAACTCCAGCTCGTCGGCGTTACCGCCATGTTCGTCGCGGCCAAGTACGAGGAGATTCTGGCTCCCAGCGTCAAGGAATTCGTCCACATGACCGAGAACGGCTACAGCCGAGACGAAATTCTCAAGGGCGAACGAATCATCTTGTCCACGTTGGACTTTAATGTTTCTGCTTACTGCTCACCATACTCTTGGGTCAGGAGGATTTCGAAAGCAGATGACTACGATATCCAAACGAGGACGCTCTCCAAGTTCTTGATGGAAGTCACCCTTCTGGACCATCGCTTCCTGCGAGCGCGCCCAAGCCTTATCGCGGCTGTCGGCATGTTTCTCGCAAAGAAGATGTTGAGTGGCGATTGGGATGACGCATTCGTATACTACTCTGGCTTTGTCGAGGAGCAGCTGGTGCCGGGTGCCAACCTGATTTTGGAGAAGCTGCTGGACGAGACTTTTGCGGATCACTTTGTGTCGCGCAAGTACGCTAGCAAGAAGTTCCTCAAAGCTAGCGTCTTTGCGCGTGACTGGGCTATACGTAACCAGGCGGCCATGATCGCTGCTGCCGAAGAGTATGCCAGCGTCCCGAGCCAATGAAAGAAGTATCCAGATCAGGACCGAACAATCGATCAGTTGAACGCCCATACCTTTGAATACCACTTCACACTAGCCTCTTCATCTTCATTGCGCAATTGTCTCGAACACTTGATCACCTTTGACTTCTCGTACAAACCAATTTTTTTTACGTCTCATATCATCAAACCTCATCTTAACAAGCCTTCCTCCGCCCTCATCAGGCTCGTGCGTTGGAGCTTTCGCGCACGCCCGATGCACGTTCACAACACTGAGCGCCATCACAATGCTCTCCTCCATCCATACACCAATCTGCATCCGCACAACAACTTTTGATGCAGATCAATCAAAACCTCTCTTCCAAGGCACTCTCAGCACCACTCATGCCTTTCCCGCCCAAACCAATCCACTCTCCAAACTAGTCAGTCGCGTTTACCCCTCGCGTCCCTCGCGCATATCATCTGCTACCCTCGAATGCTACATCACGTCAGTCTAAACCAAGCGATTGTCCCTTGATGCTCGAGTTGCGTGTGCCATGACCAAGTTTACTAGCGCTGCGCTGCGCTCGCAAGCACAGCCCATCAGTAGCTACTTCGTAGGGTTGGGTGACAAGGACGAGGGCACTAGATCATGAATGCATCAATTACTAACAAAAAAGTCTGCAACGTATGGACGAGCAAGTCAGAAGGTTCGCAAAGGGAGAGATCGTAGTGCTCGCAGCATACTAGAAGAGCGCGCGCGCACATCGCTCAGGCAACCTTCTTCTTTTTGCTTCCGCTCACGGCTCG